CGTTTGTTTCTTACAGATCAAAGCAGATGAAGAAAGCTTGGGGAGTCATATCAAAGTAGACCCGAAACTCAAGTTCGAGAACTCGAAGCTACGTGATGCCTACATTGCTCTTCAATCATGGAAACAAGCAATCTTCTCTGATCCTTTCAACTTCACTGCTAATTGGAATGTCTCTGATGTTTGTTCCTACAATGGAATCTACTGTGCTCCTTCTCTTGATTCATACTCGAAATCCCGAGTCGTTGCGGGAATTGACCTTAACCATGCTGACATGGCGGGTTACTTGCCTTCCGAGCTTGGTCTTCTTTGTGATCTTGCTCTCTTCCACCTTAACTCAAACCGTTTCTGCGGTGAAGTCCCTCTCACGTTTAACCGCATGAAGCTTCTCCACGAGCTTGATCTTAGCAACAACCGATTCGTCGGTAAGTTCCCGAAGGTCGTCCTCTCTTTGCCTTCCCTTAAGTTCTTGGATCTCCGTTACAACGAGTTCGAAGGGAAGATCCCGTCAAAACTCTTCGACATAAAGCTCGACGCTATATTCTTGAACCACAACCGGTTCCGGTTTGGAATTCCCGAGAACATGGGGAATTCCCCCGTTTCCGCTTTGGTTCTTGCAGACAATGATCTTGGAGGATGCATCCCGGGAAGTATCGGTCAAATGGGGAAGACACTCAACGAGCTTATCCTCTCCAACGATAACTTAACCGGTTGTTTACCTCCTCAGATCGGAAACCTCAAGAATGTGACGGTTTTCGACATCAGTTCTAACGGTCTACGCGGTCCATTACCGTCTAGCATCGGCAGCATGAAGAGCTTAGAAGAGCTTCACGTGGCTAACAATGGCTTCGCAGGGGTCATTCCTCCGAGTATCTGCCAGCTTCCTAACCTTGAGAACTTCACTTACGCTTCCAACTTCTTCACCGGCCGTGCTCCTATATGCGCAGCTCTATCTTTAGCCGATGGTGTGGTGAACGGCTCCATGAACTGTATCACCGGTTTGGCTCGTCAAAGATCGGCTAAAGAGTGTTTATCTCTGCTCGCTCGTCCTGTTGATTGCAGTAAGTTTGGATGTTACAACATCTTCTCTCCACCACCACCAACGTTCAAGATGGCACCTACCGTCCGGATACTTCCTCCACCAGTTTACATATACAGTTCGCCACCACCACCGTCGTCCAAGATGTCACCTACCGTCAGAGCATACTCTCCTCCACCACCACCGTCGTCTAAGATGTCGCCTACCGTAAGAGCATACTCACCACCACCACCACCGTCATCCAAGATGTCGCCTACCGTTCGAGCTTAC